CCACTAACATATGGGCAGCTATGGCTGCCGACTGCTTCCTCCTACTAACTAGCGGCTATGGCCGCGTCTTCCTCCTCTTAGCCCACTTCTCCTTTGGGCACCTGCAGACCTCCGTAGCACAAGACGCTCCGACAGCGCTTCCACACGGCTCACAGGCAGAGTGAATGACGGACTTGACGCTGCCKCTTTATTTATACTTTGGATCGTTTTTGGTCTGCCCTTGGACGCTGGGCCCGGGGTGCACACAGTCCCACATGGTACTTGCTGACTTGCCAAGTTTCACTGCTTCTGATCGTGGAAAGTGCACCTTGGGACTAGGTACCGCTGACTGGGGTAGGACTAGGACTGCCCTTTGTTGACTGTGCTAGGACTGCCCTCTGCTGACTCAGACACGGACAGACTTCTAGGACCTACGAAGAGTCAGTCTACAGCTTCTAGAAGGTCGTAGTATTGACCTTTCGGAACTGTTGCAGCTACGACCTATACTAACTCTATGACCACTAAGACTCAGACCTGCGGTTCAAGCCCCGACGACCGTACTATGTACAACAGGTGAACATACGACTTTCAGGACATAGGTCGCGGGTTCAAACACACAAGGGTCAATGGATGCTGTACATGGGTAAAGGGAAGGTCTAGGGATCGAGCCCTGGGTACTGCATCTGTCACCGAGATAGGTGAAAACCGTTTCACTCCCGCCAGCCTAAATTTGAGGTCCTCCGATAATACTTCAGTGCAAGATAGGGCCTTTACCTTTTCTCTCTCTGTCATAGGCGTGAACTATGTTGGGAGCAGTTTCTAGAAGTTTAGTTCTTGTGAACCATCGGTCGTCCTCCGGTTCCTGGTAGGCAAACCTAGCCTTGTACTACTTTTGTGGACGACCTCTACCTCCAGTCCAAAACACATCCTCTTACACAATGCGATCTAMATCGTATGTGCCATCCATCCACGTCTGGCGGAATCATCGATCGACGCGACGGAAATTGCTGACTGGTGACACAAGGAAGCAACTTGGAGGCATGGAAGACCGGGTTTGTGTGGAGRTGTGGTGGAATTTCTACGGTGCAGGAAGGTTCGTCCTCTCCACCTTTCACTTTTAGGACATGTCACAGTCCCTATACGCGGGTAACAACTTTTGTGAGATGTTCTCTTCTGGGGCGAACCCCTTGGACTTGACCCAGAATAAATCACCTACCTAGAACTGTGATGGCCGACGGTGCTTGCTAGCTTGGTCTATCATCTTGTCTTGAGCTTTTCTCAGATTGTCGGTCACCCTCGTAATTTCTTTCTCATGTTGTACTGCAAACTCTCTAGCTCCGAGAGGCAATCTCTGTATTTGGTCTCGATCCAGTCCCTCAAACAGCCTGTGAGGTCTAAAGGACTTGTGCAACTCGTTGAGGGTTGTGCGGGTAGCTAGATGGATACTATTATTGTAGGCGGTAGCTACTTTAGGGAGCATCTCATCCCAATTAATTTGATCACGTCTAATATACATCCTGAGTATATGCTGCAGGATCTTATTCATCTGTTCAGTCTGGCCATTAGTGTGGACCCTCCCATCTGCCTCTGCCTCTAGGCGAAAATACGTCTGGACTCCCTCGACCTAATCCTCGACTCGCATGGTGCGATTGTTTGAGAGGATACTGACTATACAGTGTTCTAACTTTTGGACATTTAGACTAAGCTTCAGCTTCTTCAGCGCTTTACGGCTAATATAGCTACGCGTGCCCCCACTGTCTACAAGGGCCCCTACTCTGCCTCTAAAAATCTCTACATCTATTATTAACAAATTGTCCTTTTCCTTGTTTCTTCATCCTGGCCCAGATTGGCATCCTCTCCTTTAGTTCCTCTGCCAGGCCTGTAAGGGGAGGATCTAGAGAGACTCTAACACAAGCAGTCTCTGGACAACCAACTAGACGCTGGCCAGCAACCTCTGTCGTAGACACACATGGAGTGGGAGTTTCTACTTGGCGCTCACACTCATCTCCACGTGGTCTAGAGGTAAGGGCAATTACTACCCCTAACGGCGGTTGCCTTTTGCTGCCTCAACAGGCGCTCGTCAGACACCCCTGTATTTTGGGCAAAATTTGATAATATGCCCACGGTTACCGCAAAAGACGCATTGACCTCCATTTATCCTTTTCTGCCAAACTGTCTACTCAATACCCAGTGCTTCCCAGGGCTGGCCCTCAGGCCGACCAGGGTAGCAACCACTCGTTATGGGAGGTGGCCGATTTGAACGAGGGCGGTTAGACGGGGGACCTCGACCACCAGAGGCCTGGCCACCTTGGCCTTGGCCTCTTCCTCTTCCTTGCGACCTCCCTTCGGCCGCGCCTACAACATTGGTATTCCCCTCGCCTACACCACTGTCTGACTCGTTCAGGCCCCACTCGATCTCGATGTAAAGGACCTTTTCCAGACCATCCTCCTCTAAAGTAAGGATAACACTTTCCTTAGCCTTGACTTGGCTCGTGATGGTCTGACCTTTCCACTTTTTGCCCTTGGCAAGGTCCTTGTGCTAGAAAGTGGTAACTGGCATGGACTTCTCCTCGAAAGGAACAACTTCCCGACTGAGCTTGTCATAAGTTATGTAAGGTTGTTGCTCTCTAGTGAAGAAGTGCCCGCGCAGATTCTCTAGCATGGCGCGGTAAAACAATTGGACAAGTTGGGGCTCAGTGGCCCAATGTCCAGGGACAACGACGAGTTCATCCATGGCAGCTTTGAGTGCCCTTGCACTCCTCCATTGTTGCGTGTGGATTGTCTGCAGTTTGTCAGACGCCCTGAGGCCTCTAGTGACATCTGCAACTCGTTCATGAAGGGCAGGCAGAAACTCACTTAAGTTAGTGATGGAAGAGTATGTGACCATATCGTTGTCACATTTGGCAGCACGCACAAGGGACCTAGCAAAATTGTCCGCTTCTTCTTTCAGTGTCTGGAAGACCACGAGAATATGGTTCTCAGGCGCGATACTTCGTAAGTGCAAATATGACTTGATATTGGCTTCCCAATTATCAAAGTCCTCCCCCTTCTTCCCACCATAGGGTTTAGGGAATCTGACCTTAATGCGCTCACGATATGGCCTTGGCTCCTCTTCATTGGAACCAGCTATCTTTGCGCCTTCTATGGCATCGGTGCAAGATTTCTTTGTCCTTTCTATCGCAATGCGCAGTTCGCTGGCAGCACGCGACATCATATCCCGTGCAAAGTCCGTGAAGCCTATGCGCATGGACTGTAGCGCGATATCATGACCTCTCAGGTAACGCAGCTGCTCCTGCTGGGCTCTCAACATCACATCAATGTTCAGGGACATTACTTATATTTTTCTTTGAAGGTCTACTTTTGCTCCCAGTTGCCTTTGTTCCTTTTCAACAACCTTTAACTCTCTCTCCATCTTTTTTGCCATCTCCAATCGCCTTGTTCTCTCTCTCACAAGGCGCAACTTCCACTCCAATCTCTTCTCCTTGTCCTTGGCCTTTCGGCGCAAGGGGTCCTCATCCCTTCGCAACTCTTGTAACAGCCGCTTCCCTTTTTGCTTGAGGGACAAACAACATAGCTTCTTCCTCTTCCCCCAGGGCCACATTAGCTACCGATTGTGGTGGGTGGTACCTGGAGATCTTCGATCTCGCAGGTCTACCCCCACCAACGGTGAGTGGAGTGGGATGACGATTATAATGTTGAACTGGTAGAATATGTATATTATTGAAAAAATAATGTTTTTTTGGTAGGTACGTTTTTTCATTCGCAGTACTTTTTGAAGCTCACTTCGCTTGTTTTCTGACGCAGGTATTAAGAAAGTTTTAGGAGCGGCAGGTAGGATTTTTTGGGCAGGAAAATGTATGTGCGCTGTTTTTCGGTTAAATGCGGGTTTGTAGTACTGTGGGCAGTACCGTTCGGATACGAGAACAGGTCCAGTTTTTGGGCCCCCCTGACTGATGCCTTGCGGCTGCAGGCCTTTTTTTGGGCACCGACTGCCTGGCACCAGCAGGAACTGGGTCCGTTCTAATTAGGCCCCGACTCGGGGGATGTTTGCTTCCTGCATATCCATTGCCATATATTGTGAGTCACTGGGAACTCATTCCTTGAGTTCCTCGGCGAATTACGATGGGGTTATACTCCACACGCTGAGATGGTCCGGCAAGGCGGGGGCAGGGCAGCCTACAGGTAAGACGTTCACCATGTTGTCGTGGGAAGGATGAAGTCATGAGTGGAGGAAGAAGAAGGTGGGATAGAGGAAAGAGGGGATTCAGGCTATAAGTATGGAACACCTGGTGTTCCCAATACATGGAAGGCGGTTGGTATCCTCCTGATGAGGCTTGGGGTACGCACAAGCCGAAACGCGTCGAGGACTGCGTACGTTGTTGAGATGGTTATGGTGTCTGGCGGTGATGGCATGGATTTAATGTACAATTCTTATATTTGTTGTCTCTGCTCACCGTGTGACAGTATCTGATTGTCTATTCTACCGTTAACTTCTAGGGAAGCGTGGCAACCAGCGTAGCTTTGTGCTGCAGAGTGGCCACGTTCCTGCTCGCGGTCTCTAACCACGAGCAACGTTGTAGTTTTAGAGCGAGGATGGCGAAGGGTGGACTAAGAATGTTGAGGATGCGCATACGCATCTTCAAGCATCTACAGGGGTTGAGGCGACTTTGGCTAGTCCTACGACAACTGGTGGGAAGCATTGCTTGTCGGATGGCTGCCCCTGATAGGCACGACTACTTAGCAAGACGGCGTATAACCAAGTATTTGGGAAGGAGTGAGTGGTTATTATCTACCCTGTTCGATCTCATCTTGCTGCCCATAGTAAAGCAAGCGAGAAGAGCTTCTTAGATGTATAAAAGAGTTGTAAATTCGCTGTTAGTTAGAGTACTGCGACAATTTGACGAGGTTTGCTCACTGATTAATAAGGCACTCGTGACTCTCATACGATTAGACTGCTAAGGATACACAATGGCAGGTATGGCAAACTAGGGAATGGGCGCGATGGGCATGGCTGGGGTGAACCTGGGCAATCTGGTTATGGGGACGACGAATATGTTGGTTCCTAATATGGCCACTCAAGGATGCAATGCTCGTATGGGAAGCTTTGTCGGGACTGGAGGGGTAGGGATCTCTCCTCTGAGTAATACATCACCTTTTGGAGTAGTAACCTGCTATATATGTGGGAGGAGGGGGCATTATGCCCAAAATTGTTGGCGGGCGAAGGATCGTCAAATCCAGAGACCTGACAAGGAGAACATTGAGATGAGGGAACTTATTCAGAGGATCAATCGGCAAGAAAGGGAGGAAGAGGAGAGGAGATTACGGGAGAATGTGGATGCGAAGAAGAAGGAAGAGAACGAGAGAAGGGAAAGTGAGACGCTAAGGGAGGAAGAGGCGAAAGAAGCTAAGTTGGAGGCAGCGATCGTCAGGATATTGACACAAAGGAAGGACTTGGCTTTGGTACCTGTGAACACTCAAACCTCTTATGAGGTGAAGAAGAAGTCTCCGCGATCGAAGGCCCGTTTCATACAGGAAATCACTAACTACATTGCTGAGTCCGAAGACGACAGCGAGGAAGTCAAAGAGGAGACTAGTAAGTTGTTTGAAGTCTTGGAAAAGAGGAAGAAGAAAGATAGAAGGACGACCGCAGTGCAACAGGCTACAGCGAGTAAGCAGCAACGGGCGGCCAGGCAACCAAAGAAGGACAGGACAACGCAGCGGACCAGAGAACCAGCGCCTGCAGCGAATGGTTTCGAGACACCGGTTAAAGCATGTCCAACTGAATGTTCGAGCGAGGGGATGGTCGAGTATGCGCTATCTCAGACCAAGATCCTCAGTGCGATGAAGGCGCACGAGATCAGGAAGATTTGTAATAAGGAGGGCGTTGAGTATACGGTGAAGAGCGAGACTATCCAAGAGATCGTGCGTTGCCTCACCAGGCTTGCACACGAAGGGTTTCTTGATTAGGGACATGTGTCACCTCCTTTGAAGAGAGGAGGAGCTGAAGGTTTGGGACAGAGATGACGAGCATGATTCTACCTTCCTCCGATGTGGCAGTCAGGATTCGAGAGCTCATCGCAAAAAGAAAGTGGCGAGGCATCATAGGGACGTACCCGCTTTTTTCACGAGATGACGAGAATGAACTTGCTCTTCTGTTTTTGTTGTTGACTGCTAAGGGGTTCATTCCGTGGATTAAAAAACTTTTAAGATTCGTTTCACCTGAAGATATTGATGTGAATCACTCCGGGGTATACGCAGTGGTTAGCCTGACGTGTAGGAGATTCTACATTGGATGTACGGTGAGGAGGATCATTACTCGTTGGGTAGAGCACGTTAGATGTTCGAAATCTAGGAATGGTGGGAATGCACCAAGGCTGCACTCTTGGTTGAAGTTTTACGGTTGGCATAATTACGTTGTTCTACCGCTTGTCATAGGTGTGAAAGATGGGAAGGCGGTGGAGAGCTCTCTGATTAAGAGATTCTCGCCGATCTTGAATACGATCGGGCGGAGAAAGGAGGGAGGAAAGAAGCGAAAGAAAAAACGGAATTCTAAGACGAGGAGGAGGCATGGGGAAGGGAGAGTCGTGAGGTTTGAGTGTGGTAATAGTGTTTATGCATCATTGGAAAGTCTTCTCGATGATCAGGTAGGTAGACAAGGAGAGATAAAAGTGATCTCGTATGCAGGGACGATCTGGGTGGGAGGATGTAAGAAAATCCGTGAAAAGTACAGTGAAACGAGACTCGTGATAGACAGAAGGAGGAAACGTTTGAGGGAGGTAAAAAAAGACTTGGAACAGGGTCGTGAGTTCACGATCATCGAACAAGTAGTAACAGGTACGGGGGTACAATAGAAAAAGAGATACCTTCATGACCTACTCTCACAACCTTGGCGGGTGAGGAATCTCTATAGTTTATCTAGCACACGGATGGTAGCATTGTTTCGTACAGCTGGGCTGTTTTCTAGAAGTTCGACTAGGAATTTTTTGCGTGTAAAGCTTGGGCGGTGCATCAAGCAGAAGTTTGGATTTGAAGTCCGGAAGAGATTGATGATTAGGATTTCGTTCTCCACCTGCCTTGACATGGGCAGGGTTAGGAATCTGGTGGTGAGTATAGTATTTCTTGCGATCATTGATCGAGCTATCTTCTCTCTCGTGATAGAGAGGATGAGGATTGTCAGGTTGAAAGGAAGAACAATAGCAGAGATTATTCACAACTACAAAAAGATATTAGTTCATTAGAAGGATCTATGTATCTACGCACATATTAACTTGCAGAGAGATCAGGGACATGTGAAGACAAGGTTGGAGGATATCCCGGACGTCCCACGTTTCATCATCAATTCACGGAATGTGACATGTGGGAGGAGTGTCACGAGGCAGCAACTGTTGGAACGGATCGTCGTGTCCTTACCGAAGACTTGGAGAGGGAGCGTTATCCGGGTCAAGAGTGAAGACATCGATTCCTGTTTCAAGACGGGGGTAATTGTTACCTCCGCAACTTTGACAGAGCAACAAGTGGAGAGAGCAGTCAGCCATCTACGAAACTTGGTAATGGTCCCTTTGGACAGAAACCCGGGGGCAACTCTGGTCATTTGTCCGGTTTTGTATTTTCATGCTTTTCGCATGACCTTCGCTTGGAACGCAGGGTATTGCAGAGAGAAGGATTCGAAACAGACAGTGCTCGCTGCATCGAAGATGGCGTCTAGGGATGTCGGACTTCAAGTCGTGGCCACCTGGCGCACATGCGGGAAATTGGGACGTGCATACGTGCTCCCTAAGGACAAAGACCGTGGAAGATGGAGACCCATTGCTCCTTCACGATCCGAGCCTTCTCGGACTGCCAGTGCAAGAATGGGGAGAGCATTGAGATATATGCTGATGAGCTTGCCATCCGCATATCACTTCAGTCTGAAATCGAGTGACGAGCTCAGATCTAGCATGACGGAGGCAGTCAGTACACTGACGCAACGGGGTGATACTATCATAGCTAGGAGCTATGACAGCAAGGATATGTTCGTGAAGCTTCCGCATGCGGACATTATTGTCGTCGTGCTATGTTTGATTGATATGTGTGAACGACGAAATCTGGTCGCCGCTATGGTAAGTGTTCGTGGGAACGGGTGTAAGCTGTCCAAGACGGTACGAAAGGAGGATGGGTTCGTGTGCTTGACTTTCGCACTCCTGGTGAAGATCGTGCGGTTCGAACTGGATCATACCTACACGGTACGTGACGGATACGTGTACAAGCAAGTGTTTGGTATTCCCATGGGGAGCACTCCTCACCGTCTCTCGCTAACGTATTGTGTGTAAAGTCTGAATATGATATTCTTTCCTCCCTTGGCTTAGATCGTTGTCTGATCGCGGGGGTGAGAATGGTCGACGATGTGTCTTTTTTAGGTGTTTTTCGTACAGCATCTTTTGAGAGTTATCAGAACATTGTCCGTATCTTTCATCTTTTTAAGATCTGTTATTCTGATAGCTTGAAGCTAATCAGGAAAGATAATGACCGAAATGTTTGGGAATTCCTTGGGAGTAAGATCATGGTGGAACAATCCTTCAAGGGGGTAAGCTTCACTTCCAATCAATGCAACACTTTCAGTCCTACTCAACCAAGAAGGTGAAGAGAATGACATTGACAGCATCAATGTTGCGATTATGGAGAACGGCCACGGATGATGAGGCGACACTTGCATCTATCGTATCTTTAGTGATCGAGGCTCGCCTCCGGGACTTTCCCCCGGAGGTCTTCTTCTCATCCTTGGCAAGGTTTGCCAAGGTGGTGGGTGATACCTGGAGATCTTCGATCTCGCAGGTCTACCCCCATCAACGGTGAATGGATTGGGCTGACGATTACAATGTTGAACTAGTAGAATATGTATATTATTGAAAAAAGAATGTTTTTTTGGTAGGTACGTTTTTTCATCTGCAATACTTTTTGAAGCTCACTTCGCTTGTTTTCTGACGCAGGTATTAAGAAAGTTTTAGGCGCGACAGGTAGGATTTTTTGGGCAGGAAAATGTATGTGCGCTGTTTTTCGGTTAAATGCGGGTTTGTAGTACTGTGGACAGTACCGTTCAGATACAGGAACGGATCCAGTTTTTGGGGCCCCCCGACTGACGCCTTGTGGCTGCAGGCCTTTTTTTGGGCACCGACTACGTGGCACCAACAGGAACTGGGTCCGTTCTAATTGGGCCTCGACTCGTCGGATGTTTGCTTCCTACACAGCCATTGGCATATATTGTGACTCACCGGGAACTCGTTCCTTGAGTTCCTTGGCGAATTACGATGGGGTTATACTCCACACGCTAGGATGGTCGGGCAAGGCCGGGCAGGGCAGCCTACAGGTAAGACGTTCACCATGCTGTCGTGGGAAGGATGAAGTCATGAGTGGAGGAAGAAGACGATGGGATAGACGAAAGAGGGGATTCGGGCTATAAGTATGAAACACCTGGTGTTCCCAATACATGGAAGGCGGTTGGTATCCTCCTGATGAGGCTTGGGGTACGCACAAGCCGAAACGCGTCGAGGACCGCGTATTTGTGATGGTTATGGTGTCTGGCGGTGATGGCATGGATTTAATGTACAATTCTTATATTTGCTGTCTCTGCTCACTGTGTGATAGTATCTGATTGTTTGTTCTGCCCTTAACTTCTTCTTCTTCTTCTTCTTCTTCTTCTTCTTCTTCTTCTTCTTTTTCTTCTTCTTCTTCTTCTTCTGTTGCTGCTGCTGCTGCTGCTGCTGCTGCTTCGAGTGCCGCCAACTTCTCTTCCTTCTCCTTTCATCTTTCTAATTCYTCCTCCATCTGTTTCTTCTTCGCCTCCTGTTCTTCTAGAAGGGCCAACATCTTCACCTACTGGATCAACTCTCGCTTCTCCATCTTCTCCTTCCTTTCCCTCAGGATGGCGGAAATGTTTTTCCTCTAGGGCCTTACTATAGGGGGTGGTGTTAGGTCCTTACCTGGTGTTCACCATGATGATAGGGCACAATCACAACGATTCCACTCCTCACGACTTAGACCTATCCCCCAACTGACCGACTAACTGACTCACTCTCTAAAGGACCACAAAATCGTCTCCTTCGTTTCAGCCAGGTTACCACAGCCGACGGAAGCTTTCGCCACCACTGTCACCAAAACTTTTCCAGATCCGAGTGCACTTTGCACCCACAATGAATCCCACCCCGTTTTCGCTCTGGATTAGACCCTGTCAACTATGGTTTCTAGCCTGATCTACCCTAAGGCTATCACTACAGGACTCTAGTGCTGATCAGGAGGCATTTAAGGAGATTCCCCATAACTCCTCAGGAATTCTTTAACGTCGCAGTCAACACGACGTGATCAGCAGAGTCCTCTCAATACTTCAGACAACTGGATGCACAGCCTACAGCTCGAAGTTCACGCCTGCCAGGCCACAATGAGCAGCTCGCCGGTCTGTATAGGTCCTTGGGGGTCTTGTCCCCGGGACGTGTCAGTCGTTAGACATGGCCTTTAGCCCTACTAGGTCCCGTGCAGGTTATCGACCACATGCATTGACTCAGCAAGTCCCAAGGGTAAGTGCACATCCACAGGGCGAGGGGGCAGGCTTAAGGCTTGAAGAGATTATACCAACTCCAACTTGCTCAACGCCTTGGTCAACGACCTCGGTCAACACCGGTTAAACTTGGTCAACGCCCGGTCAAACTTCTCATGTTGATTGATTCGACCTCCCGACTATGGATGCTGAGCCTTCTCCTTCAACAACCTCTCTCTCTTTCCCCCCCCTTTCGTCTTCTTCTTCGGCCCAGCCTTGGCTATGGCTACTTGTCCTTCATCTCTCCTTCCCCTTCCTCGTCCCTTTCTTCTTCGTCACTTCCAGTCTTCTTCTTCATTGGTCCCGAGCTTGGCGACTATGGCCGCCTCTTCTTCTTCCTTGCGCAACCAATCTTCTCTCTCTCTCTCTCTCTCTCTCTCTCTCTCTCTCTCTCTCTCTCTCTCTCTCTCTCTCTCTTCATTGTCGTCTTCTTCCTTATCTCCCTCACGATCTTTCTAGCGCTCTTCTCCCCTCTGCAGCGATGGCAGGCTCCTTCTCCAACGTGCGGTGGCCTTCTGTCTTCGACTCGCACGAGAATACGCATGTGCGCGCAAAAGCAAGGGCGTGCAACAGGAAACGTACACGCAGCA